GGTTGCAACCGAATCTTTTATGCCTATCACCATTACTCTAAAAAAGATAAAAAAAGTAAAAAAGGAAAATTTTTATGCTCAGTAATATGGAGTGGGCGCAGCGGATTATTTTTATCTTTAAAATAAAAGTTTTTGTCGTATTGGCGTGTGGCGATGTAAGCGTTTCCTTGGAAGTCACCTCCAAATGCTTTTAAAAATTTATAAACGATATATTCATTGTCGCTCATGGGATATACATATTTAGGTACATTCCAAATTTGAAACAAGACAGGAATTTATACACTTTATGGGGTTTTTGAAGCTTGTTGTTGCGCCCTGTAAAGGTATTGAAAAAACAATTAAATATTTGATACACCATAATAATGGATAGGTGCGGTCGATTTTTTTCATTTTTGTATACAAATGGTAAAGGATCGCCCATAGATTATGCCTTCAAATTTTTGTACATTTATTTGCCATAGTTTATTGGATATGAGCGAAAAATCAATTTTTCATTGCGTATAAAAAACAGAGGTGTTCTCAGTTAACGTGATGCTGTAGGCGCGTTCTTTGACCGATTTGGTCCATTTTCAAGACGGACCTGCGTGCAAGCGCTTCCAATGTTTTTACCAAATTTGAAGTCGATAACTTCATTTTTGCGGCCAGGAGAATGTTTAAACCACAGACAGATGGACAGACGGACATGCTTAAATCAATTTAGAACTTGATGCCGATCAAGAATATATACGCATTGTGGGGTTACTGATGGGCGTTGCAAACGTTTTGACAAATTGAATATACTCCTCAACCTTCAGTGATGGGTATAAAGGTAAATAAACAATGTTGTTTTTACAGATAAGTAATATGGTTGCTAGATAAGCAACGCCGTTTTTAGATGAATATTGCTTTCGTAGACAAATTGTTTGAACTTTTTAATGCAAATTCAACGATAAAATAACGACAATGGCGAAAAGCTTTTAATAGATGAAAGTTGTTTGTCGAAGTTGTTAAATGCTCCATACTCTTTAACTAACAATTTGCGAGAATCGCGATTAAAATTATATTTTCAAGCTACAAAAAAGAAGGGAAAAAAGCTGTAATGAAAAGCTTTGCTTTACGTTTGAATTTGTCCATTAGTTGTTAGTGTAGCACAAAAAAAACTTTTGTGTTAACATTTTCTTATGATTTGGAAGTTTTCAAAAGTTTTCATAGCTCAGCTGTAAATGCAGTTGGAGCAAAACAAATCTAACTATCATGTACATATGCATATAATTGACAAATAAGAATCTAAAGCACTGAACATTTTTAAACAGTTGCTGTTGAGGCTGTTGAGCGGTGAGAAGTGTTATTTTGTGTGTTACGGGAGATGTTTTAAAACCGATAAATTTATTATGAAGTATATATAAATATTTTTGTGTATATATAGATATTCAAGCACGTCCTCATATATACGTGTACAAAAAAGGTTTAAAAAAAAATAAAATTAAAAAAAAAATTTTTTTTTTATATATTTATTAAAAATTAAAAAGGTTTCTCTTAAATGATTTTTTTGTGTACGGAAGGAAGTCGACAAGCGAGGGAATATTAGAGTAATAATAATAATACATATACTAACATCTACTAACATATGCACAATATTCAACCCCTATCCATAAGCTCTGCTCTGCTTGGGTGATGCAATGCCTACATGTAGTTGTAGTTGATAGTCAAGTTTTTGCATATTAGTCGTTCTCTTTAAAATTACATATATATATATATATATATTATCGAGTGTCTGTTCGTCTTCGCTTTCATTACTCACTCTCTCTTTGTAGGTGTTTTCATTGCTTCTCTTTTTGCTTTGTGGTAAGTCATTTGTAAATTGATGGATAATAACAAAACTAACAAAAAATTGTTAAACACCTCTACAAATACTTGCAAGAATTAAAAAAAAAAAAAAAAAAAAAAAAAAAAAAAATGTACCGGTAAATGTAAAGAGTGATGACCTCGCGCTTTCCTAGATTTCGTGAATACATTGTAAGTTCCGAAACGGGATAAAATAGAATATTTTTTTTAAATTTCTTCTTAACCTAAAAAAAAAAAAAAAAGAAAAAAGGGAATGAACATAAATGTTATACTAGTTTTTTCTCAAGTGCCAGTGTATGCTAATAACAACAGAGGTATTCATGATTAAAACCAAGTCGAAATCGTGAGTACACGTTTCATTTTTCATGTAAAATATTTAACAAATCTTTTCTTAAGCAAAAAAAAAATAAGGGGGAGAGGGTGAGTAATGGCTAGAGTCACAACATGTTATGAATACAAAAACATAGCTTAGCTATTTTAGAGCATCGACAATGGACAATATTAAGTGATAATGACACTAAACTAGTTCGGGCAAATTTTATGCCGGCAGGTCACAATTTACATACGAAATTGCCCTTGTACTGAAATCAAGAACATATATTAGGAGTGGTCTGCTCAAGTTTGAGGAAATGTTGGCGATAGACTAACTGCCTGCCCGGTCTGATCAATAGTGCATATGCTTCGTGTGCTCTTATTAATATATAGTTACGCCCATCCTGCTATCGATGGTCTGCTTAACAATACACAACGTAACACTACCTGCCCGTTCATAATGAATATGTATATATATATAATTAATATAATATGCATATATTATAAATGAAAGTTATATATGTATATATAAATGAGTTAATATACACTACTGTGCATATATTAAAAAAGTAGTCTTAAGGGTTCTCTATGTTAAAGATTTGCTGTGCTTTTTACCATTCCACTCTACTCCAACAATATCGTGCACTAAACACATCATAACCTTATTTTTTATGGGTGCGACCTGACTGTATATATAGGTTAAGTAGGAATGATGATGATGATGATGATTATGATGATGATTATGATGATGATGATGATGATGGTGATGTAGTGTAGTATAACAATGCATAAAAATTCTTGACGACGTGTCACTTAATGCAAAATGTAGACATTTGGATTCATGCTAAAATGATCACATTGCTGCTGTAGCTTATTAAATACACTTACTTGTCTTACCTACATTTCATATATTTACCTTTTTTTTCATTTTCTGTTTGTTTTTCAATTTAATGTTAAACCACAATTTGTTTTCGTTTTTGTCATCTCATAAACTACTTTGTTAATTTGAAACATTATCAAACCACATATATTCTTACACTTAAAAGCTCTCTTCATTGATAATAGACTGCACTTTTATAGAGTCAAGCAGTGTGCTTGGCGAAACAAACTAGAGCGTATATCTTTCCAAATATGATCGGTAGCTTTATCGAAGCAAACTTCATATGTTCGGTAATACCGGATGAACGACCATCGCTTATACTGCTCACAGCTTAACTATTATCACTTGGATCGTGGGCAACAGGCAACAGACAATTAAAGACCGATCTTTTGCATATAATCTCTACACCCAGTCGTCTTCTCAGCAGGTTAAACCAAGAATAGCTGAGAAGCTAGCTGCTGGTTAATTCACTTTCTTATATGTTATGCTGGCAAAAGTATGTATGTAAAACAGTAAATAAACCATGATAAGCATACCTTTTCTAGTGTTGATGAAGACTTGTCGCCGTAGTCGAAATTGCAAATCCTTCGCTGGGAAACAATAAGCCTAGACAGGGGATTAGACAATCAGAAAGAAAGAGCACCTAGAGAATGCCTTAACATTAATTTTAACACATAACACGTACACGGATTGTTAGCATTTCTTCAGTAAGTGGAAAAAAACTCAACGAATTGAACACTTGCCATTTATAATAGGGAATTCTGAACGTCAGCACATTGTAAAATACCTACCATACCCTACCATTGCTTCCACACCGTTCGATGTTTATTAAGTACTGAGCTGAAAACGATTTTCCTTGTTTATGTAAATATATAAAATTGTTTATTATTTCTATTAACAATAGACGTCTCCATTAGTCCATATGCCCAACAAATACCCTACACTACTTTCAGTATAAGACACGCCAAGGCATAGTAAGCGATTCACAATCGTTTTCCGAATTCATTTCAGTTTGTCTCTCCGTTTTTTGTCAATCAATTTTTGAAGTACTTTGACGAAATTCGTTACGCTGATGTGTTTTAGTCCAAACGACGAACACAATGGAAAATATATTGAACCTCCTTTGTGATCTATGCTCATATTAAGCCTTATCGTTAAAAAGTCCTTAGACGAAAAATAAGTAAAAACATTAGAGTCGGGCGAGACCGATTTTTAGATACCCTACGCCATTCCGGCTAATAGTACACAAAAAATTGCACATTATTTTTAGGGAAGAGCACACACCACATGGCGTAATCCAAACTTGTTTTACAATTGCCGTCATGAAAAACTAGAAATTAGACTTTAAGGACTTGCTTTTGAGGTCTGGAAAATAGATTTAGTTGATCCAAATTCCCTACCGTGTCATTTTTTTTTACTATGCACTAATCCTTTTCATAAAAATTTTAGAAATGAAACCTTTTCCTAAAAGTTTTACTATTCATGGGAGATCTTATGTGAAATGAAGTCCTAGAAATAGAAGCGTACGCTTCAAATTTGAAGAGTGATAGTGTGGAGAGAAGGTTATAATAAAATTTATCCAAAATCTTAAATACATCTATACCTTGTCTCCAATGCATACTTCTTAATGTTACTTAAGGAATGACAAAACTAATTTCTTGCATCCTCGGATGAGACTATGTTAAAAATGGAAACTGAAACTTCTTCATATAGGCATGAAACGTGATGGTAAGTAATGAAAGCCTAACGAAGAGAAAAAAGTGGGCAGATATTTCTATTGAGATGTAAAATATGCCAGAGCATGCTATTAAGGCTATTCTCCCCTGGTTTTTTTAACTTTGTTTAACACGCTCAAATAAATATCTATGATAGCGTTCAGAAAGAATAAAAATAACAACGAAGAAGAAAAATTACAAAGCGACACTTTTATTAACTCACTGCTTGTATAAAGGTATTGTTACACTTTAAAAAAGACCCAGAAAGCAAATAAACAAGCAAATGTGCACTGCACGTCTGCTTGTTTGGTGGCTGACTTCGAAGTTCGGGTTATTTTGTTTTTATGTCATATCATAAGCACCGGTGAGACATTTAACCATATTGCTCGTTCTAAAAGCTCTGCAGCTGTAATATACGCGTGGAATCAAGAAATATATAAAGTCGTACGAAATCGTTCAATATGTACAAAAATTGTCGCACATATGTAGTTAGTATATGCATACAATTGCCTGTATGGCGATAAATTAAGCGAAACATATGTAAACAAACGGTACGGAATACTTAATAATATGTAACAACAACAATGAAAAAGAATATCTATAAAAAAAATATATATGCAAAAAAAAAAAAAAAAAAAATTAATTAAAGAGAAACCTGTCGCTATAAACAGATTTGCGGTGAGTAGTGAAGTGGAAAAAACCTTAACAAGCGTGAAATAATAATAACACACGACTTTTATTTAAAACCAGTTAATAATGTTGAAAACTTTCAAATGCGATTTTTTAGTTTAATTCTTAAATGATAATAAATCTTAAATTATAATATAATATTTACTTGAATTTAAGACAATTTCCGATTTGCCAGAAATCATAGGTAAATGTGAAGTAACTGAAAAACTTGGGAGAGAGGAAATGATAAAGTAATGGGTCATATAAAAAGTCTCCGCGGTTTGTTCCGCAGCTACGCGGATCTTCTTTTCAAATGATTGCAAACTACCATGTGGTTGATGCTTAGTGTCTCCCGTATTCCTGACAGTTTGCGTGTCAGTGTTGCTCCGACAGTTGCAAAATTTCATCGTCTCTTCGATCATAGCGGGGTGCATCTTTGATATCAAAATTTCCGGAAAGGAATTGAGCAAACTTCTCTTGCGTCCTTCTTTCACTCACAGCATTCTCACCGTGCACTTCGCAAATTTTCTTTTTTATTGCTGATTTTTTACCTTTTTTGTAGTAAAAAAGTATCACATAGCGTGTTTCCTCGGATATTTTTGACGCGTTTTTAAATGAATAGATATTTTTTATACGAGCAAAGAATTAGTAAACTATCTGGAAAAAAATTGTAATGTTCGTTTGAGCCAATCAGGTGAGTGTTGTCCGATATATAAGTATTAATATTATTTCGCGAAAAAAACCGCGGAGACTTCTTATATGGCCTAAAAGATTCATAGGTGAAAACACATTTTGCCCTTCGGTATATTTAAATTCAACTCAGAGGCTTTTAATGATGATGAATGAAACGATGTAAAATATTTTCTTAACGTAAAATGATTTGATTTTTTGCTAAATATTCCTTTCCCTCTCGAAATTCTCCGTCTTAGAGTTGCTCCATAGCAAGAGTGAAGGCAGTGAATGCCTTTTACAAATTGTCTTTCAATGCTTCGCAGACGAATAACTTTTCAACTTATTCTTAGGTTTTTTAACTTATTCTTTTTACTTACTGATTAGAAATCATTTTTCAAAGACGAACGAACCCTTTCTTTACGTAGCTCTATGCCTTTAAAATATCAAGCTCTTATGCAGTTAACATATTTACGGATTTAAGAAGTTCACTTTCATAGTTGCTTGCACGTGATCAATAATGACGTGGTGTCTAGAGTTAAACAGTTGGTTAGTGTGAAATTGTTTATATGTACGACAGCAGCCGCAACCGGGTGTGCTCGATTAGAACAATCTTTTGTGTCATTTGCTTAAATTTTGGGAATTCCTATCGCTGTACTGCAAGCGTCACCAATATGTGCTCTCAGTGTGCCATAGCAATAAGTGACTGCCCTATATAGACTGCATCTGTCGCAAAAAGACTAAGACAAAGAAAAATGTACTAAGGAAGAGTTTATTCCTTCTTTTCGAAGTTTTCATTGCCTTTATGTAGACATATTGAAATTCACATAAGAAGCCTTATCTTGTCAACTATAGATTTCTATAAAGTACACAGCATTCTAGCAGAGCCGAGTTAGTCGCAATGTCCTTCTAGTATCTGAATCCAAACTTTCGCTTAGAGAAGTTCAGTTGTTTTTGTCAGGCGAACTTCGAAAATCATCAAAATGGCTTCGTAACTACGCTTTTTTTCTAAACTATGGCCTTAAAATGGCCAATTTTTTAGTTTAGTCCTAAGGCACCTAGAACTTTAGGTAGACTGAAGCAAACTTAATTTTGTAGGTAAATTAAAGGGCATAGTTTCAATGGCTAACACAATGAATTCATACTTTATCTAAAAATCATTGCTTGGAGAGTAAAAAAGCACACGTGGGCTTTCCTTAAGTGTCGCATTGTGCTTGGCTTTTTTTTTTTATATTATTTAGATTAACATCAGTAAACAATTACAATTTATTGCACATAACGCCATATAATGGTCTAACTCTTAACTCTTGCAGCCTTCCACTTTTATTTAAAGGTTATCTTTTTAACATATGAGATATATGTATATGTGTGTTTTATAGCAAAGATTTCGATGTAAACGATATATTTAATTAATCATGTTTTTATTTGCAATGAAGGAATTAAATAAAAAGGCGGAGGCTTCAGTTTTATTTTAAAAAAAAAGAACTCGACTGTATTAGGTATTTGCAAAAATTTTGATCAGTGACTTCTACAGGTAGAAATGATAAAGAAATGGGAAATACTAGTGTACATAAGGGTTGACTTCGCTGGTTTAGACCTTCCCGATACATAAAATAACCGCTTTCCGTTTAGCATTAATAATTTATTAAGCGTATGCCAACGTTAATCGGGGAGCGCTCAAAATTGCACTTCGATCTTCATAACCATTGTTGTTTAATTTGACGAAATCCGCTCTCGAAGATCACCAAACACGCGCAGAGGCTTATGGGCAGAGGCCGCTCCATCATTGAGGCAGAAGCCGCTCCGAATTGATTGAAAATGCGATTTTTTGGCCCCTTGCTGCAACAGCTGTTCAGGAGACACTGCGAAGTTCTAACACATCCTGCGTAGATAGATCGAATTGTATTGAAAGCATACGAATTCTGAAATTTGAGACTGAATTTAGTTTAAGTTATAATGTGCATAACAATATGTTCACAAAGAGTTCAAAGGGAAAGAAAAGCCGCGACCAAGCCATATCGTGGAAGAACCTTTCACCGTTTTAAAAGCAAATCTTTAAATCTTCAAACATTAAATCTTGCGCAGCATTACATTAGCATAATTGCTAATTAGAATACTGAATCCTCTCGACAATAGGCATTATCCAATAGTTAAAAAGGAAATCCTTCCTCCCATTCCTGGGCAATTTTTAGCTTAATCTTCAGCCTGGAAGAGTTAGGAAGTACAAGTGGGCATTACATAAAGTACAATTGGATTACAATTATTCGAATAGTAAGTAGGTTAGGGGGTAAATCGCTTATTATAGCCGAGGTCATAGATCGAGTATGTGCCATCATTGAGGATAGGAAAATTTGAAAAATATCATCTTATATATCGGCATTAATAAAATGTCTTTTACTTTGTTGCTCTTCTAATTTATTGCGGTTACAACATTTTATTACTCATAAAGCAAAGAGTGGAACTAACTAAAAAGTTTCTTGGAAATTGAAATAAAGCAACAATTTTGCTCATTCACGATTTCACAATGTAAGTAATAAGTCGAACCTTATAATAGTATACTAGTATTGACAGTCAGCAGTAATAGTTTAAGATAATTTAAATAAAAATTTTTTAAACTATATTAGTAAACTTTAGTGGTAAGAACGGTAGCGTAGCAATAAATGCGAAACATATATTTATTCTGTTTTGCTTAACGATTCTCTAATTTTTATTAGTTTCCGCAAATAAATTCATTTCATTGCTTTTTCTTTGCATTACGTGCGTATAGTTTTTATGTAAAAATATTTTTATAAAGAAATAGTTTTTTTTTTCTTTTCTTTGTTTTTTTCTTTAAAAGATACGTCATTCGTCATTCGCCATTCGCCATTCGCCATACGTCAAAATCCCATCGCGATAATCAAATGCTTTACGTCCACACAACTATAGTAGTCGGATATCTGAAGATTTTATCCATTTAAAGCAACGTACAAAACATAGAACAGAAGCGCAATGTTTTTGCCTGTCAAATCGAATCAGTAAGTTATATAATCAAATAAAATCGATAAGAAAGAGAGAGAAGAATCCTGGATAACCATCGAAATTGAAGTTAGTACAGGATATGCCTTGCGACCATTTTTTGCACATAACATGCCGGTAACTGCAATCGCCCGCCGCCGTCGTCTCACATCAATTTACTGTTACAATAAAAGATATACGAAAAAATTTTTTTTTTTTTTTGAAAAACTAATTTTAGTTTTCCGCCTTGAGATACTGAACTGAAGGAAAGAGATAATCGATAAGAAAGTTGGCATCGATAATTTACTTAGGATCATTTCTTAATGAAAGGATTTCTTTCTTCGAGTAATGCTCGAAAAAATTCATGTTTGTCCATCTATCGACGCTGTATAGAAGGAAAAACTTTACTTTAACTTTAACTGATGATGTCATAGAAGAAGTATATAACTTTTCCTGCCCTTATGCACTCACAATACGTTTATGTGCGTGTGTGCATGTATATGTGTGCATTATGTTTACGAATATATCGTCATGCCAATGAATAAAAGAAAAGTTCATTTGTAGACACATTAGACAGCGCATTGGTCGCATTACCAATAACTTAATCCATGTTTGGCTGTAAAATTACAAACATTTTTATTATGCTTTTACTTTTATTGTTATCGTCTAATTGAATGTGTATGTCTGCATAACCATAATTTTTTTCAATCATATTCAGTTAATGTGCGCTTTCAAATTTATACAAATAGGTTAAGAATAAAATAACAAAAAAAAAATAATTTCTCCAATTTTCGATAAAGTTTGGAGAAATGTTAGCTGAAAACTTTATTATTTTTCTACGAATTTTACTTATATGTTACTCAGTTCCACCACCGATAATACTGCCAACAGTGAGGATGTCACTACAACTAGTAATAATTCAACACAAACACCCAGCGATCTTAGCCCACCGGGACCAAATGAGGAAATATTACCACAGGCTCACCATCAAAATCCAGGACATTGTGTTGCCTCCTTTGCAGCCATTAATCAAATGCGTTCAAATGTTCAGGTAAATTTTGCACTCAAAAAAACGAAGCGCGCTTACTATGAAAATCTTCACTGCGTCAAATCTCCGAAATCCTTTGTAAATCACTTGCTTGTAGTTATTTATTTTATATTAATTTATTCCTTTATAGACAATTTTTTCACAACTACTAGGTGCACGATTTAGTTTTGAATCATTTTTTAACGAACTCAAAAATCTTTTTTAAGAAAAGTTTATAGTTAGCTTTATGTGAAATATTGTCCATCGTTAGTTAGTTTTTAATTTTTTGTCGTTCCTTTGAGCATCGCCTTCTTGAGACAGAAAGAGCAATATCTGCTCAAAGCGATGAACGTAGTTCAGCATGGATTACAATGTCTTCGTGTTCGTCATGACCATTAGCATGCCTTTTGTCACATCATGGCCCTTTTTATACACATCACTGAAAGATGGACGTATACTCATTATGTTTTTTTTTTTTTTTTTGTTTCATACCTAAAAGGAACTTTTAGAGACCCTACACAGTATACCTATTATTGAGCAGCATGAAATTCTGATTTGATTAAGTCATGTCTGTCCGTCAGTGTGCACTTTGTTATTGGCATTCTCCTGGCCGCAAAAAAAAGGGATTTACTTCAAATTTGGTAGAAAAATTGAAAGTTTTTGCACGAAGGCCGGCATTCAAATTGGTTAGAGGAGAACATAAACTGAACCCAACTTCGTTTTTCTGAACAAAAATTTGTGGGTTTTGTCGAAATTAAAAAAGCTAGACGGCTGAAATTTTCCACACTTACTTTACGAAACACTCTACTTATTATGTGCAAAAATAGAGAAAATCGGCCATGCCCCCACAAAAAGTTACAAGTGATTAAAATTTGTTTTTTTCACTTTTTTAGGGTTTTATTCTCATTTATCATAAGGCAAACAAGATACAATGTCTAAAACTATCTTGTGCATTCCTTAAAAGAAGATATATTATCTGCCTAAAAATAGGTTAATTCTATAATGACTATGGAAGACACCGCGATTAATTTTTTCTCAATAATACCAGCGATATGGGTATCAAATAAGAGAGCTTAGAGAGTAGAACGCGAAAAGCGTAGCGGCGAGTACGCGAGATTCGACCACCGCCGAAATATCTTTCTTACTTGTTTTCTTTAATAATCGGCTGAATTGGGTCAGAGAGGACAGTTCAACCAAGAAGATTCATCCGATAGACGTTTGGCATTTCGGTCGATATTAATCGTCCATCTTACGTATAAAAAGAATTTTTTGCCTTTCAAATATTATTTCGTGTCGTTTTTGCATCACCCGAATTATACAGGGACATTTTTTAAAATAATTTGCACTGTGTCGCAGCCATAAGTATGACTAATAGTATTACTATGCCATTCACGCTCTCTGTTGTGAACGGCTCGGATCAAGATTATGCGTCTCATAGCACCCAATTAAATTTAGTTGAATTAAAATTGATTTTGTAGATTCTCAATGTTTTGAAAACTTATGTTTGCAAACTTAAGCAAAAACAAATACAGACATCTAAGCGCCAAAAGACTATACTTTTGGTTTTTAAAAAAAAGTGCTCTAATGGCGAGCGATATATGGCTGGGGGGAATTTATCATCACCTTGTTGTTTGATTAGCACCTATGAGCAAGAAAGTGCGAATACTCAAGGATACGACTTTCACCATAATTAAGGACGTAATTTTCTTAAATGGACCCCACAACTGTAAGATAATCAACTGTAGTGCTAATTACCATTCAAAACGCAATACAATCGTAATAATATTATTTTTGGATATAAATTGAAATACTTTGTAATAAAAGGACTGTAAATAATCGCGATTTGTATAACAAAATATCCCTTTGCGCCAACACCCAATGGTTTTTTGTAAGATAACGCGGAAGACATACAAAACCATTACTCCTACACCATGTATGCATTAAATAGAAGCAATTTAAATTAATTAGTATTTGGTGGGGTAACTGACAACATATCCCATTTGACGCCTTATTCCGCGAAAATAATAAAGCGTAATAAATTGATCTAAAAAAAAAAATAAAATAAAACGACCTCGAAAAGGGCTAAAAAAACCGAATAACTATAACTAAAACAAATGATAAAATTATGGTCGGGGTGGGCCGGCTATTAAGTAACTTTTACCACATTGTCTAACACAATCCTTAATGTTTTCTTAGAACGTAAAAATTACACCCTATTTTTATATGAACTCACTAGTATGGAAATGCATATTAAAAACTACACTCCCTTTGTCTCTGTATGAGTCAGTTTTCTTCCTAACATAATAATATTTACAATTTTCTAACCTAAAAACCAAAAATTTTCGTGAATATCTATATATAGGGTAGGATCCAAAAAATAGACTCACATGGGCCTTTGGCACAGTTCATTTTTTATGTTAAATTACTGTTAAGAATATTTGAAATGAGAAATTTCGAAAATCGTAGAATTTCAGAATAGGGCCTTATATGGACAGTGGTCGGAATAGTGGATCGATCCCCACCATTTTCAATATCTTTCCATCCTAGATCAAGACATGTCACTGCACGAATTTTCATCAAAATATCTCGACAATTGCGATCTATAGCTTGAACACAAATTTAGATGGACAGGCGGACAGACAAACAGACAGGCTTAAATCAATTCAAATTATGACTCTGAATCGATTGATACACTAAAAGGTAGATCTATCTTAAGCGCTTCTGGGTGTTACATACCTTCGCACTAACTCAATGTACCCTATACCACAAGTGCTGTAGGATATAATTAAGAATTATCGCGTGCAATATTAATAGAATATGTATTATACATATATATTATTATAATTATATCGCAATATTAAGTGAATGTTGAATTCTTAGCCCTTTGTTAATTGAAGTCGTCGATTTGTTGTATAGATATATGTAAAACTGTAGTTTAAAAGTTTTCTTAACATAAAAAATTCTTAGACTTGACGATTAGATGGACTGGGAAACACTTGCTTAATGATTAGAAAATTTATATTTAAAAATGTTTTTTTCATTTCTTGAGCGCCAATGACGAAATCAATACAATTTGCTGCTAGACATTGTGACGAGCACTGCATGACAGCAACCCCTATGTGCATGATATGTACATATATGTATATAGTGTTACTTTTAGACTTAGAAGAGTTTCTTGACATCAGCAAACCAACATAGGAAAGCAGCCATATACATGCAAGCAAAATGTTGCATAGGGGGCGAGCAGAACATGTCAATTATATAAATCTTTCAAATGCTCTCTCTTCGGCTTCACGCCCAAAATCTCTCGTTATACAAGCGAAAAACCGTATTTCTATGTAAAGCAAATAAGAAGTCTGAGCTTGCCAATGGTGTATGTTGTAAGATGATGATGACAATGCAAGTGAAATAAGTTCAAAATATCTTTTAATAACAAGACATGACGAGAATTTCTGGCGTCAGATCAAAAAAAAAAAATCATAATAATTGATACGAAAAACATAGCACAAAAGCGCTATACAAGTTCCGCAAAGCAAAAGTTCTCGCATGAGTAATGGTAGCACAAAATCTTAATTGTAACAGTAGTAGTAAAAGAAGTATTAGAATGCTTAGCAAGAAGTGCTTGACTTTTCTTATTGCGATTAAATAATTTTTTTGCATTTTACTCTTTAATTGTTTAACATAAGCTTTGTGATGTTACTCTGGAGGTAGGCGGCGAAACTATACATGCTCATAAGGTAATACTTGCCTCTGTTTCACCGTACTTTTATGCCATGTTCAATGGTAGGTAATTCATTTAAGTAATAAATTAAATAATTCTCTGCATATAATGCTCTCATAATGCCGTTTAGATGACATGTTGGAACGTACTCAAGGTATTGTTAGACTGCATGATATTGATTTATTGGCCTTAAAACATCTCATCGATTATATTTATACCGGTGAAATAACGATAACCGAACAAAACGTTCAAACTCTATTGCCAGCATCGAGCTTATTACAAATGCATTCTGTTCGCGAAGCATGCTGTAAATTTCTCTTAAGACAATTACATCCTTCAAATTGCTTGGGTATACGTAGCTTTGCCGGTAAGTCAACTAGCAAATATTTTTATTTTCATTCACCAATCAACTACTACTAGATGCTTATTGCAGATGCCCACTCATGCAAAGAGCTGCATACGCGTTCTCATAAGTATGCTTTACAAAATTTTCAACAAGTTGTCGGCACTGAAGAATTCCTTTTGCTGCCTTTTGAAGAGGTAAGGAAAGTATACGCACATATATGTTAAAGCCGCAGCAAAACTCACAACAGTCAGCCTATACAATATTTCATGCGGCACCAAATACTTGCTATTATCACAGGCAATATTTCAAGCAATTGCTGAGAGGAAAGTTTTGAAAACGGACTCAGATCTCAAATCAAAAAAAAAAATAACCCAACTCATCGAAAGATCAGATCATCAGACTTGAGCTCTCGACATACTAGTTATACGTTTAAGTTATAGTGCGCGAACATATGTAAAATCAAAGAGGACTTAAGATAGACTCACTTTCCATTATACCGATCGATTCAGATCATTTTCTGAATAGATTTAATCTTATCCACCCGTCCACCGTTTCCATATGTAATCTTACGCTCAAACAGCAGTTTGCAAGGATGAATCCTTTCGCAACTGATTCCTTTATAAAGCATTCTTTTAACTTTTACCACACATGGCAATCATCCAAATATCTTCACAAAAGTAGTCTGGGCACTATCTCAGCATTCAAAGCTGATGCAAAAAAAAAAATTGGATCAAATGGACCCGTTCCAACGAGCACTAAAGTTTTCTAACGCAAAGTAATCGAATACCGATTGTTTTATAAATATAATTTAATATAAAAATGTGCTTTACCAACATTGGACCACGATGGCTTACTTCTTGACCTAAGGGCTCTCAAGAAGATACTATGTAACAGTAACTTGATAAAGAAAAACTTAACTTTTTCAAATTTGAATAATTTTTTGGACGCCATTCCATACAAGGATTCTCACGAAAAATAAGATTTTATATGACATAGACGTCTTTTCCTTAATATTTTATGATGAAAATTGGTCCAAGGTAATAATTTGCCAACAAACTTGACTTTATCAAATATGAATCAACCAACTATCTATTTTTTGTAAATCGCGGCGTGTAACGGCTCTCATGAATTTGAAGTTTTACGAAGCAAAAAAATTTAATTTTTAATATTTTACGATGAGCATCGGTCGACAATAGTGATTTGAAATAAATACCAAGTGTACCAAAATTGAGCTATTTTTCCAACTCTATTTCGAACTCTATTAAGATAAAATTTGGATTTTCATGAAAAATTGCTTCACAATAACAATTCGGCATAACAATTAATCCTAGCAAGTTTGGATCACATAGGTCTATTTCTTAGATCCTGCTGTGTGTGTAAGAATTTTTAAAGAAAATTTGGCCCACAATAACAGTTTAACATAAAACATAACCGTAATAAATTTGGATCACATAGGCCTTTTTTTTAGAGCCCGCCATTAATAAGCGTCTCATGAAATATAAATTTTTATACTGTGACAAGGACCAAAACGTAGATATTTATAAGGAAAGTAGGTGAAGAATAATAAAGTCTTTAAGAAAAAAATTCAATTTGCTAGATTTGGGCCAAGTCACTTTACGCTTTAGCCACTCTCTATAATATAAGGGCGTTCGTGAATAATGTACCTTTGCATGAAAGATGTATAAAACATTTAAAAATGGATAATTAATTGCATTGAAATATGTTGTGCAGGGCGTTCATTGGCCGGCCTTGTACAACTATAACGTTCTTACTCGCCCTTAAAATGCCAATGACACTGTTTCGAATGGCGAATGTAAAAATTGCTTTGTTGAATAAATTTTAATTGGGCTTCAAAGATATTGAAGGAGCTTTGAGGACGCAGTCTCGTATGAAAAAAAGTACTTGGCATAGAGTTTATTTGCAATGTTAACAACTTAATTATATAAGCTATCCTAAATGAACTTCTCTTCACATTCTTTAATATTATAACGATCTTCGTTTTCTTTTTTCCTTCTTTAGGTGAAAGATTTAATTTCGAACAATCAGCTTAATATTAGCTCTGAAGAAAAGGTGTTCCATGCAGTTTTAAACTGGATTAAACATGATTTAGATGAACGCCAAAATCATATAGCTGAACTCATGAGTCATGTCCGTCTACCTCTTGTCAGTCGTGACTTTTTGATGACTTGCGTCGAGACCGAGCCACTAATACGAGACGATGCTCAGTGCAAAGAATTGCTTTTAGAGGCTATGAAATACCATTTACTACCAGAGCAACGTAGCTTGATGAGCAGTCAGCGAACTCAAGAACGAAGACCTGAAGGCATTTATTAAGCATTATATATTAAGAGTTATATAAAAATGTGATTATTTATTAATTAGGCATGCGTCCGTACATATTCGCCGTTGGGGGCGGTAGCTTATTCGCTATCCATAACGAATGCGAAGTGTATAATCCACGTACAAATAATTGGACTCCGATAGCAGCGATGCTGTGGCGTCGTTCCCGGGCAGGCGTGACCGCATTACATAAATCCCTGTACGTGGTGGGAGGTTATGATGGCGTTAATGATTTGGCTACCGCGGAACATTATAACCCCTTAACAAACAAATGGATTTATATTACGCCAATGGGTACAAAGCGTTCTTGCTTAGGCATATGCGCCTTCGATGGGTTGATTTATGTGTGCGGCGGTTACGATGGTGCTTCTTGCCTCAGCAGCACTGAACGATATGATCCACTCACCTCAATATGGAGTTCTTGCCCAGCCATGAGCACGCGACGACGTTATTGTCGTTTAGCGGTTTTAGAGAATTGCATTTATTCTCTGGGCGGTTTTGATTCCACAAATTATCAATCGAGTGTAGAGCGCTTCGATCCCCGTGTCGGACGTTGGTTTCCAGTGCCCAGTATGACGGCACGCCGTAGTAGCTGCGGCGTAGCGTCCTGTGACGGCTACTTGTATTGCATTGGCGGCAATGACGGAACCATGTGTATGTCCAGCGGAGAACGCTTTAATTTGCGACGTAATATGTGGGAACCTATAACAGCTATGCACTCGCGTCGATCCACACACGAAGTAGTAGAGGTTGATGGATCTCTTTACGCCTTGGGCGGCAATGATGGTTCGTCGTCCCTCAATACAGTCGAACGCTACGATACGCGCCTCAACAAATGGACTATAGTCTGTTCAATGGTAGCGCGTCGTAGTTCGGTGGGAGCTGCAGTCTTGGATTGTTTTCATTTGGAACGCGGTCTTGTACAAACGACAAATTTATGACCTCCACTTGGCGCCATAGCTGAGACATTTGTCAGCGCCAGCAATGCGACATCGAATGGAAAAAATTTTTCGCCAACCAATACTAACGCTAGCGCTTCTTCTTTGCCTGTTAGCGCTACGTGTGTGACGACTACTAACGCAGCCATGGCAACAACAACGGCAGCAACAAGTACTTCAAATGGTATGGCAGTGCCGGGGAGGATAACAAATGGTCGCAATATAATGGCTGCCGCTGATCTACTTAGTGTCGTACTGCCCACCAATTACGCACTAAGTACATCGGCTCCGTCATCATCGTCATCGACCATTTTAAGGCGTTATCGCGAACGTGACGCCTCAACTGTGGAATCTACTCGTGCCGAGCGAAGTTCAAATGACGACTCCAATGGCAATAACAAAGCCCCAACTGCTTGATATCTGCATTTTAGATAATTTTATAAATTTATTATTTTTTTGTTGTTCTTTAAAGCTTAGCCTGCCAAATCCAAATCGTTCACTGCCTTCTGAAATTTCAAAGAAAATCTAAAAAAAAAAAAATATTGTTATGTGTAAGCGGCGGGCATGCGAGTTTATTTAGGGAATCATCTTCATCATTACAATAAATTTCGCCAACGGTCGTTGATATTTACGGAATTGATTCATTTATGTTAATACAAACAACACTGTCGCCTAGACCGCAAGAATACGGGATTAGTGTTAACTTTTTTTTTTTTTAAATTTTGTAAATTATAGTGGTATTATATACATAAAATACAGATCGCTTCAATATTTGCATTTGTTCTTATAGTAGTACACTTTTAACAAAATTTTTTCATAACTGTAATATTTATTCTTATGTATTTAAATAAACATAAAATATACACATAGACAAAAAAGTTCTACAACCCAAGCATGTTGAATTTTTTTGATAAGGGCTAGAAAATCCGCTACAATAATAGAAAAAGTTTTGGACTAGTACACACGTCATATGCCTCAGTTTTTAAGCGGACAGTAAATATAAAAAAAATAACTTAATAAAACATGAAAAATGGGCTGCATATTTTCAGCTAAACCTTTATAAATTCGTGGTGAGGTCGCTCGAAGCGATCATAACGATGATGAAGCTCATCTAAGAGACTGCAAGTTTATTAATAGGAAACTCGGAAATTCACCTGAGTGGTTGCGAAATTGTAGTAATATCAAAGCTGTTCTGCTGCATCTATACGAAAACTCGTAAATAATTTATCTTAAATATATTTTGAGGGCTTTTGCCCATTTCCTACTACTGGGGTCAGCGGCGCCAAGCTCTGACTCACAAGAATTTTGTTTTCTTTGACTTTTTAGTAGTTTTCACTTTGTTTATTTATTCTTTTACTTCGTTTACAATTCATCAATAAATGTTCAATGCTTTTACAATACGACAGCATTTCAAAAACCGTAGATCGATTAATTTTACACGCTTAACAGATTCCATATCAATGCTAACTCGTTCTCGTCATTTTACAGCGTTGACCATATAATTATAAATTTACATCGAGTTTCTTCAAATTGTACAAACACATTGCCAGTTCAGAGTGTACTTTCGTTATTATCGTCTAATAATAAGTTTTGCTTTTCTGCCTTATTCGCGTTGTCGTTTTCTGCTCTCCCCTGATTCTGACTTCTCTACTCGACCGAACCGGTCGGTCCCTCGACACGGACTATTTGCAGCCACCTGTTTTACAACTCCCGTGAAGGTTGGCTTTTGGCAATCTTACTATATCCCAATCAAAAACTTCTTTTTCCCTTACCTTCCGTGGTCCATCTAGTAGTTTACTTAATCCTATTCTTAACCTAACTTAGCCTAGCACTCGCCCCTGAGAGACGAAGAGACTGTGAGGCAAAAACTAAGGGAATATATATATATATATATTTTTATATTATATTGTATAAAATATATATTATATAATTATTTTATATATATATATATATATATATATATAATATATATATCTAATTAATCCGCACACGAATTAATCACCATTGAATCTTCTGTGGTGCAAGTTTACCGTAAAGAACTGCACAGTTGGAAGCCGGTTGAAGACATTCTATAGGAGAACCTGATTGGTGTAAAAGATTTTCATTAATTAGTAAGCAATGTCGCTTTTTATACCCTACAACACTTGTTGTACGGGGTATATTAAGTTAGTGCGAAGATATGTAACACGCAGAAGTCCACCTTTTATCATAACCATCGGTTGAGAATCACAATCTGAGTTGATCTAAGCTAGTCTGCCCGTCTGAAGTTTGCCTAGATTTGTGTTCATAATTTTTGAAAATATTGTGATCAAATTTGTTACAGCGACATGTTTTGATCCAAAGAGGAACACTATTGAAAATGGTTGGGATCGATCACTCCCCAGATAACGCCCTACTCTGAAAAGTCGGTACTTTGGAAAAAATTCCGATTTTTTAAATTTTCACAAAGTCACATATGACAAAAATGTTTGTTATGTAGTTAGGTTAGTAATGTTATATAAAAATATTAACTATATCAAATTTAGACTCACCCTAACAAGGATTTTCATGAAAATTAATGTTTCGTAGAGCAGAGAAGTCTAAGTTTTAATATGTGGTGATGAAAACTGACCCATAATAGTAATTTCATGCAAAAAAAAAAAGAATTATGCTAGACAATGTGGTGTAGGGTATTTAATAGCCGACCTTGCCCGCCCATAAAGTTCTTACTTGTTCTTTTTACCAATCTTAAGTCGCCGAATGCGAGGATGATGCACGTAGGAACGTTTTATCGGTGACTTGTACACGCAACTTTCGTTTTCTTCTTTTTTTTGTCGATGTGTAGAATTTTAAAATATATCCACAAATGCCTTGTGCAGTTTTCTAGGTTGTTATCGTCTTTGACCTGAAAATAATAATTCTAGCACTTCATTTACTAACATTAAATGGTCTATAAGAAATTTACACTCCGTATGCATGTAAGATTCACAAGTGCCGTGACTAACTTAGATTTGTTTCGGAATGCGTTTATCAAACAAAATGCCCTTCTTTTTGCTTCTATGCGATTAAAAATTACATTATTTTTGCTTATTTTCAAGGGCAAAGGAATAATTAGATATAGAGTAGTACAACATATACGGAATACGATAATATATTGTCTAAACATATACAATAACGAATAAAAGAACAGAATACGTACGATATGGAAAAAGAGAATTAATTTCATTTAATTCATAGCATACATACAGATATATATATATATATGTATACATTCGTTCGTAAGGCACGACTCAAAATTACAATTTTTAATGAGAATGTGTATAGGCATATAAGGGAAACGGGAATTCTTTGACGATTTCTGTTGACGCGGAAATATTTGAATTTTGGTATCTTGAATTTGTACTTGAATTATTTAACCTCGCATTAGATACGAATGCGATGCCTAAAGCATACGGACAGCAGCATGTTGGGCGATATTCTTCAAAGTTTTATCTGCGGATTTCTTGTTTTGATTAGAGGTGGGGCCAAGCCAATCACCGCCAACTGTAAAAAAATACCGATGAAATAACAAAGAGTTAAATGAGACAAAATTCACCAAAAAAAAAACCATATATTTTATTTAATGTTCAAAGCTAAAAAAAAAAAAAGAAAGGAAAATGTTTTTATTTTCCCGATGTAAAATTTATTAGAAAATACACAATAATTCAAATATTTTATTCGTAATATGCGATAACTAAATTATTAAGTTAGCTCAATGATCCTCAAGAGCTGCTTTCATCATTAAAAGAAATCAATAATAGAATGAGGGAAAGAAGGGAAAAGAAAATATTTTAAACGATTTTACTTTTCACTTAAAACATAAGTTAAATGTTCATCATATAAAAATTTAACACATTTTTATAGATGCGTGTGTGTGCATGAAAATAGAAAGCTGATCAAGTTTGTTTAAGTCTCAAAAATATCTATTTACTTTTGTAAACTTTCTCTGTCATATCATCAAAGCTCGAGTCCTGGATGTTCAGCATTAAACTATCAGCCGAGAGATAAACCTTATTCTGGGAGCCTGCAATCTGCGTGTGTATCGAAAACGAGACAATTAAAAATTAAACCAGATTTAAGAATGAGTTGTAAATATTCTTACCGTCCTAGCGATACTCTGGGCAGCACGTAACTTACGCAGTTTGAGGTAAGCCGGATTTTGCTTAACTGCTAAACCTAAGTAAACTTATCGGTTAAGAAAACCAGCAGTTTTTTGCAAGAGAATGCTCATCTATATATAGGTCATTAACACTTCTCTTCTCTACTATTTGGGAAATTGGAGGAATTATCATAAAAATTTTAAAAAGTGTTTCAAGCATCGAATCAAGGTTCAGGAACGTGTAACACAGAATGATGAAATGAAATAACGATCGTTAGCACTTGTCTGAAGAGAAAAGTCCCGTAAAGAAGTAGAAATGCGGAAGCGGAATATGTTGTTAAATACTTGTTCAAGTGACATTTCCGCTACCGTTTGTCAAATGTCTGTGTACACTTAGTATTTTTGGCTTATTGCATCCAGCAACGAAACAATGAACTCTATTTCTTAACGAAATTGAAGGAATAAATATATATATAAATATATGTATATGTATACACTTTTGATCAACCTCCTCCCTGTAATGAGAAAATCTATAAAGTCGTTTCATGTGTAGACGTCAGACTAAAGCTTCTTTAAAGAAGTTAAACCCCGTTTAGAGTCACAGACACACACCAGAAATTCCGAGTGATTAGATAGAAACTGTAAAATCTATGCTAATCATTCGGTGATATAAGTAACATTTTAGAAAAGGATATCATTTTGGCTGCTTCAGCTTCACCCTCAGCCTGAACAATTTTCTGTTGTTTTTCTTGCTTTGCGCGTTCAACGAAGAACACAGCACGTTGAGCCTCTTGTTGAGCGACTTGCTTAGCTTCAACAGCTGCTGTGTATTCTTTTCCAAAACTTAATTCAGTTAATGAAACATCATCCAATATAATGTTAAAATCACGTGCACGTTCCACCAATTCCTTGCGTATTAAGAGCGATACCTTTTATTTACATTAAGATGAGGCGCATTTAATAATGTAAAATAAAAACAATAAGGCGAGGAACATACTTGAGCACGCTGGGTTATTAATTGGGAAGCATTAAATTTCGCTACTACGCTCTTAAGGACTTCGTTGCAAATGGAAGGCAAAACTTTCTCATCATAATCCAATCCGAGTTGACGATGAACGGAAGGCAAACGTAACGAATCAGGACGCGACAGAACACGTAGGGATATATTAATCATTTGCAAATCCTTAGAACCGGTAGGCGAAGATATTTTGCGTGGACGCGAACGGATATCATAAACGATAGGGTACTGGAACCATGGAATGCGAAAATGTAGTCCTTCCGCGTAAATGTCATTCTGTATGCCACCAATTCTACTGAAGATAATTGCACGATGGCCGCCATCAACTATAAGAAAATGTAATCACATAATTTCTTCGAAAATATACAAATCTCACACAGTAGATTATATAATTATCCTTCTTTCGTAATTGTGGATAGTTACGTATGGAAATAATGAAATTTCATCTGTACTTTTTATCTAACATTAAAAAAAAGTATCCTTTCTGCCTTTATGATGAGAAAACATGCTTCAGTTATGAAACTGAAATATGCCGACAAATTTAAGGTTATGTCCACATTGCGAATTCTTATTACATATAGTTTAGGAATTTTTTTTGGAAAATTACCTGTATATAAAGACTGATTAATACCGTACGCCGTAGCTCCTACGGCGGCCAATAATTTTAAACCAATTGATAAACCGGGGGGGCCGCCTTTTCCAAATTTGCCAGCCAAATCATTGAACTTACTTTGCGCCATAACGCTTTGGAAGGAAAAAAAATGTATTTACACTTTCACCCGCAAAATGGCTCAATAATATGATTAAATACAAATATACTTTTATTCTAGAAATAAATGCACATTAAAATGAATATTATAAATTCTCGGGCCACAACTTATTGGATTTTTACGTAAAGAAAATGACAAACGATATGGTCTAATAGTAACAAGGAATAGCACTGTCAGACACCAGAGTGAATTATAATAAGAATATGTAAGCAAAACAAGTAACTATTCACAATGGATGACTGAATCGCTCACAAGGTAATTCTTCCTCTTTTTCAATTCAGCCAATCAACAAAATGTAATTTACTGAGTTGGATAAAAAAAGTAGTAAATCAATTATGCATTAATATTTAAAGAGAAATGAACCTAAAACACAAAGTCATATGGATTTTTTAAACATACACATAAGCTTCTCCAGTGATAAAAATAATTATTATTTTTTAGTCCTAAGCACTTGTTATTAATATTAGTGCTAAGATTAAGAAAAAAAAATGAATGTGTGGGAATTAATCAGTGATATCTATTGGTCTGATGGGCTATCAATTGTAGATTAAGTTTGCGATGACAGGTTGTTCCTGTAACTTTTTGTCAGTTTTGTAGGCTCTCACCTCATGTAGACGTTCTGAATATATCAATTTATTACTTAAGCTGTTAGATTTTCAGTGGTGTTAGACTTTAAATGAAAGTAGAAAACAAAATCATCAATGTTAAAGATTTTTCTCTTTTGCGCGGCTTGAAGTCATTTAAAAATTTGAACTACGGAATGGAGCTCTTGGAAGTGTGGTCTCAGGCGAGATACGATCAGCTAGAGTTGATTAAACATAAAGAATATCAATGCTTGATAAAGTTCATATCTTTGTATATGACAAATTCAGTGTCCTCCATTTCCTCCATTTTCTAATGAACTCTGAATTGTTACCTCAAGTCAAAATATTAAATTGAAAAGCAAGTAAAAAATTCCCTACAGAATTTTGTTTAATACTGCCATAGAACAGCTTTTCAAATTAGAATGGTTTCATAAGCTAAAAATAGATTCACAAGCTGAAAATACAGATTCACAAGCCAGCAAGTGCGAAAATTATATTCGTTCGTATCACCGTTATCCTAAAATAGTTAAAAAAATAAAAGAAATAAACTTTTATATTCTATAAAATGGAGTGAGCGCGGCTGTTTTTTTCTTTTTTCAAAATAAACGTCTTTGACGAATGGGCGTGTGGACGTTGTGGGCGTGTCCTGTGAAAAGTTCAGGACGCTTCCAAATTCTTTTGCGAATTTGTGTGCGGTATATTCATTTTGGCTAACGTGACTGTGTAGAATTGCGTTGGTAAATAATGCAGTTGCTACACGGATTACTTATATATGCCCATACACACATATACACTTATATACCTATAATTACTTTGTATATATCTATGAACTCAATCATCAATGCACACATAGATATATATGTATATATATATATATATATAAATAAGTACCTTGCATATAATTGCCTTGCATGTACCTATGTACATATACATATTCACACATACGCATATATATGTTTGTGTATAAATATCTACTGATTTTCTTATATATAATCATACATCCATATGTGGATATCTATACACATACTTACTTTATTTATTTAATCACATTTTCACTTGCTTGCATCACTGTAAATAAATATTCTTATATATATATATACCAATTTGGGTTATCATATATAAAAAACCTTATTCGGTTATATACGCTATAGAATTACCTATATTCATATATATATACTGAACTTGCATTTGTTTGTTTAAGTTGACACCTAGAATTATCTATATCATTTTATATATGTATGTATGTATTTGGGTATTGGATTATTATATGTATGTAACTTTCTTTGTTAGAAGTCGATACACATAAATATCTCTTTCTATACATATATATAACTAGCTTATAAGATTTGCTTTCATTATTATACACATATGCACAACTAGGCATACGGGTTTGCATATATTTGTGAGGAGGATCTTAGGCATGGACGCATATCGCAGACGCTTATCGCAGACGATAGCTCTGACGTCGAGACCAATATCGTCCGAGAGTTGCAGATTCTCCTCTATTAACATTGTTTATTTATGTTATTGATTTGGTTTTAATTGTTTCATAACCATCAGATTTGACATTTGAATATGTCCTTTACCATGAAAAATATCCTCGGTTATCCCCGAGGTAAGAGAGATTGAGAATGTTTGAATAAATTTCTTTACATGTATTGTGGGAATTTAGAGAATAAGCGCATATTCGTTCTCAATCATTAAGAGTTCAATTATTTTTTTAACTTGATGATAGTTAAGTTGTACTTAATTCTATTAAAGGTGTGCAATATACGACAGTGGAGAGTTTGATACCATTCAAAGATGTGCTAGAACACCGCTTAGAAGCAACTCAGTGTGAAAGGTATCGAAAGGATTTACAGGAAAATCGGGAACTAATTGGTACCCTAAAATCGACAGTTCGCCAGTTACGTGACATTATTGACCGTGCAAGAATTATCATGTGGGATATAAAGACAATGCTAAGGATGAGAAAATCTTAAACAATAGATTTTTTTGACACTACTTTAGGGTTTGTAAATTAATTTGAAGTTGGGTAATTTGGAGTACTCAACTTCTGGAGGAGGCTCTTTTTCCAAAATAATTTTCAAGTTTATTTATTGATTTATTTTCCATTTGACATAAAATGTTTGCAAAAATTTATTTCAAGAATTATGTACAATGGGAGCTCAATCGTGAGAGCATAACATTATAGGAACTTAAGTACATTTACAAACTAAATCAGGTAGCAGACGCTCGTGAGCTAAATTTTATTCAAGAGCAGTCGATTTGAAAAACGATACGCTACGAAATACTCGTTTCCGCTGCGCTAGAAGGAAACCTATGCCGATTGCCTTGAGTTAATTAAACGCAGCGCATATTACAAAAAAACAAAAGGACCGAACACGAGCGTATAGCATGTCTGCGAATCATAACTATAGTATCAGTATATACGTAACGAAAAAATAAAGTTACATTGAAAAAGAAAACTGTTAACCGATTCTTCGTCGTTATAATAATGTTTACAATCGGCTTTAATGGTTGAAAGGTATTCCAATATATTGACAAATATATTGGAATAATCATATCCTAATATCTAAAAAATTTTATTATTATTATTATAAATTTTGCCAGAGAATAAATTCTAAGACTAAAGTCTTAAAGCACTAGCATCTAGGGCTATCGGCTTTTATTAAAAAACTCTACCGCACTTGAGTTTAAAAAATTTTAGATTACTATTGTCATTCGAAAACGCAAACCGTATAACATATATACTATAAAATGTAATTTATCCCGTATCTTTCATAGTATGAACCGTTTGTATGTAACAATTCGTAAAATTATTTAAACTTTTATAAATAACTAAATTTTAGTATTCATTTTTAACTAAATACTGCAAATACTGCAATACTGTAATACTGCAGTATCTTTAACAACGTTTTTAATTGCTATTAGTGTCTTGTAAAGGCTTCTTCAGTTTAATTTTTTCAGTGACATTAGCCTGAATATCATAGATACAATCGGTGGTTATCTCATACAACAATTTACGTTCACGAGCATTATCTAGCAGTAAACGCCAATCAGGTACGTTCTAATAATAGAAACATGGGTTTCAATTACCTCCAAATTTTTAAAATTTCCGCATAATATTAAACACTTTTTCGGTCTAGTTATGGTTACCTTCAGATTTGAGGGCTAGCGAAACAACCAATACCGCTTGTACGAGCATTGGAAATTATGATGGCATTCTTTTCAAGACCCTAGTATGAATCGATTGTGCTATCCACGATGTTGCCCATGGATCTATGGTATAAAAATATTACCAAAATTTAAAAAAGTAAAAACATTATAGTCGCTCACGTCCACCATTAAATAATCATCCTAATTCGGTTACTATAGTTATTCATACAATGGCTTTCCAAAATAAGGAAAGTGTGCGAAAATCATTCATTGTGAGGAGGCGCGGAGGCATGGACGCGGAGGAGTTGATGCTCGCTATTATGGCATGTCTTGTTTCTCGCTCGCTATTATAATATTTTTATATATATTATAAATGAATTAATTAAGTGGCGGACCTTTATATGAGGCTGCATTTTTGTAAACTAAAAAAGTAACAAATTAATAAAATTGGAAATATATCTTAATATGTTAATATATTTACCTTAGACTGTGATATGTTCACATGTAAGGTCTTTCTCCAATTTGTCCCCTTCAGCAGCATGAACAGTGCGTATCCAAGTAAATTTATTGGATGGATACTGCCGCTGCCGCAGGAACCTCCTTGTTTAAAAAAGCCAAGCTGCGCTACCACAGTTGTCTGCACGCGCTTTTCTATTCACCGCTTCACCATATGTTGCGTCATAGATGCGCAGAATATATCGTAAGCTTGGTGGAACGCCTCATGAACTTCAGCTTTCGGGAACGCCGGTCTCAGGTATTTGGAGTTGGGGATCAAGTTGCCTTTAAGTTTCTTGATGACAACTCGAACGCTCACCTCTTGGCAGGCATCTTCTTGGTTAGGTTCGCGACGCACACCTGACACCGCAGTACACACTCATGAAGTAGGATATTCACCATATCACTACTTTATTCTGTAATAATGCACACGTGAAATGTATTAGGTTTCTTTACTTCATCATTGCAAGTGTGGTGAGTCGACCACAAATCTTTTTTTAGTTGTTCCGTGGCAGTCAAGCGAAAGGTAAGTCATATTGTTTTTTTCAGAATGTTTATGGTGGACACTGTGTCCTGCCAAAGGTTTTATCTAATCAACCTACGGCCTACTTTATGGTGCATACTTACGGTTTCGATGATATCTACACATCAACAGCCGCCTGCTACGCAGTTGCCCTATTGGTTTTCCTTCCTGCCCGCTTTTTTTCTTTTGCTCTGAGAGAGTTAGCTCGCAATCACATATGCTTACTCTTCCTCGTGATAATCCAAATTTGTACCATAAATCAAATCCTAAAGAAAAACACAGAAAACGAGGTCAACAACTAAATGTAGGGTCCATTTAAATAATAATAAACTTCTTGAAATAAACTCCTGGAAGTTAGCCTGAGCTATACCCCAGCTATAGAAGGAAAAATCCTATATCGTTACAGTACGTTCAATAACAGCACGGCAATATTG